AGTATACAAAGATATTTTCTTTTATTGCGCGCGCGCGCGGACATTTAAGCCTTTGGGGTTGAATTTTTTTAGCGCATATTTGTTTCAAGAGTGTCAGGAAAAATTTTCAAGTGCAATTAATGAAGTTAACATTGATTTACTGTCAAAAAAGTCGTATTTTTTCTCAAAAAGCGCGCGCGCGCGCGCACTTTTGCTCAGATTCCTTCAAAACCAAGAAATGCACATAATATACATAATTCTGAGTTTGCATGAAAAAAATCAGCCTCCTACGACAATTCTAAGTTATGTTTAACCACTGTTTAAATTTTCCGGAGAGTAATACGTTTTGTGCCCCCCCCCCCTTTATAATAGCATTAAAGAAGTGCTATAAGGACCCTCAATAATTTTTTAGGCGGTTTGATGGGATTTCATAAATACAAAAATTTTAAGTAGAATTTTCTTCTACATTTTTGCACGAAAAAAAATATGAAGCGAAATTTTTTTTGATGACTTTCCAACGGTAGAGTTAGGTGGTAATATCTCAAAAATAAACTATGTTGGTGCGTAAGAAATGTATTACCTTCAGAACTACATCAGAAATCTCAAAGAGTTTCATTGGCAGCGGCATTTTCCGGTTTGCCTGTACAGTTTTTAGCAGTCCAGGAAGCAGGGCGGTACGAGCAACCTACAATGAACATAAATTATTGTCAACAGGGGTGTTTACTGCAAATCGTAAACCCAGTCTAAAATTTCGATCTTGTAAAGTCATTTTGGAATTATAGAATGGACGTAAGACAACCCTAGAAGTCTGAATTGATTTGATTTACTGTATAGTGTATACTGTAAAATCCCAATTGGAGAATAAATGTAAAATTGAGAGAACAGGCAAGTTTTAGCATCTTTTGAGATACTTTCTCCAAAAAAGTTTAAATACCCCAATTCAGCTAAGAAAACCATAAAAAAAAATGTTTTGCACTCCGCGCAAACGTACGAAACTTCTGGAGGGGAAGGAATTATTTTCAGGAAAATATACACCCCTGTTATTGTGCATGATTACTGACTTCAGATAATCAGTAATAATGTTGATTTGAACTTGGTCATTTTTTATCAATAATACCATGATTACAGCGGGATGTTTTATGCACTTTGTTTACCTGAAACTCTAAGGTTTTAGGGTTAGCAATATGAACAGCTGGGATGTTTTCAATCTGTTTTCTCATCTTAGTTCCAACATCATCCCGTGAGCATAGCGAGAAGGTAAGAGCCTCAGTGAACCCACTCTACAAAATACAATATATATATCGTACAACAGAGATAAGAGAATAGAGAGCTATTAAAGGCTAGAAAACGCGATATTTTCCAAAGCAGGGTCCATTGTGTACAACTGGAGTACACAACCAATAAACAGACGTTTCTATTCAGGGATATTTATTAAAAGATCCTGTGGATACGAAATACGAAACCTTCAAAAATAGACAAAATTCAGAAATTATATGTTTTATGTTGAAAGTTAAGAGTATTTCTTTAAAAATTGTAGAACTTAATCCCTGAACAGGTATTACAGGCCAGGCGTTAGATGTCATTCAAAAATCCTTTTAGTGGAAATGTAGCATGGCGTGCCGGGACACTATGGGCCTGCTATCCAGGAAAAGCTTATAAGCAGTCTGTGTTAGTCTATAGTAGTATCCAACAAAAAAACGTTATCACAGTTGCACCAAATGTGATTCATTTTTGTGTGAGATCTCATATGAGTCAGAATAAAAATGTTGGCCTAAAAACCACTAAATTAAGAAAAAAAATCTTCCATTAAAACCATGAAGATTATTATTGTTTAATAACGCACTAAAAGGAAGCAGCATTTTATCTTAATGTATAATATGAATTGATTATAAATGAGCAAACGATGATCTATAATATGGGTACTGGGTAGTATACATTTGGCTAGTCTGTCCGTCTGTATCCAATTTATAATCGTCAAAACGGCTGAACCGATCGATAAAGATGTTACCCGGAAAAAAATGTCGACATTTTTATAAATGCCCAAAAGGGGAGAGTATATATCACAAGGATGGATACAAGGATACTACTACTCACCTCGTATATATCACAAGGATGGATACAAGGATACTACTACTCAACCTCGAATATATCACAAGGATGGATACAATGATACTACTACTCACCTCGTATATATCACAAGGATGGATACAAGCATACTACTACTCACCTCGTATATATCACAAGGATTGGATACAAGGATACTAATACTCACCTCGTAGAGTTCACAAGGATGGATACAAGGCTACTACTACTCACCTCGTAGATTTCATAAGGATGGATACAAGGATACTACTACTCACCTCATATATATCCCAAGGATGGATACAAGGATATTACTACTCACCTCGTATATATCACAAGGATGGATAACATCATGCCTAGTTGGTGGAATTGTTACAGTGATGGTATCGTCAGAATTAACTGTTGACTCAAGGCACATCTAAAACAAAGATTTTTACGTTTAGAAGATCGCAATATTTTGAAGGAGTCTTTCACGTTCCGCAGCTTTCTTACAGGAAAGAAAAACGATATTTATCCCGATTTTATTTGTATCTCTTTCTAAAATTGGCCTCCAAATAACGAGGGGTTCCACATTTTCACAAAAAGGGCGCGGGGGCGCTTCGAACTTCATTGCTCGAGCAATCTCTCTGATTTTATTTGCACGCGGGCCTTCATAAATTATGATATTGTTTTTGGAGGAATGAAAAAAAAATAGATACAAGACCGACATGCCCACCTCCCCTCGAATGGAAATGTCGATATGGACAATGTTCATTCCCCTCCATAAAAATAAAAATTGCACCTTAAAGTTTTACATTTCTTAGAAAAACAAGGGAGGGGGGAATCAACATTTTTTAAGAAATGGATACAACGTTTTTACCTTGCTCAGTAAAGTAGCAATCTCAGACGGTGATTTTTCCACACCAACTAAACCGTTCACAGCAGCAGGTCTAATTGTCTCCGTCCTATATCTCAGGGTTGGATATATCTCTTCTACTCCTAAATATAGGTTTAATAGTACCGTCATATATCTCAGGGTTGGATATATCTCTTCTACTCCTAAATATNGGGGGAAGACTTTTTTGGAAGAACACCTCTGGTTCAGTAATTTTGAATTTGTAATATATGATAAAAATGTTTCGCACCATACACCCACTGTAAACATAAGGTGGAAAAAATGTAATTGAAAACAATAAATTACCCAGCAGCAAGGTTGTAAAATAAGTTAAGTTACTCTCAATGTGCTTCAATGTACGGAATATGTCGCCTCCTACGATAGATAGATAAAAGTCTCATATGACTTCACTGATTAAAGAGGCGAGGGTGACGTAATATAAAGTTTTTATCTATCTATCTTAGGATACGACATTTTTCGTACATTGGAGCTTACCGAGAGTAAGTAGCCAACCTTATTATAAAACCTTGCCCCGAAGCATTTCAATCCGGCACTGCAAGTTGATGTGAATTGTGCATTGTACGTACCTACAGTACGTTGTAAACCACGGGCAGCCATAGTACATTTATATTTCCGAGCCGGGTCAACCTTTCCAATCCAAGTTTGTACTGTATCGCCCGGACATTGGGTAAATAAAGCAGACACTCAATAGGACTAGACTCAACAAGGTTAACGCGGCCAGACTTTAGGTTGAATTTACTTTTACTAAAGAGTCAGGGGTGCGTGAAACGCACATAAATTCTACCTTTAGAGATGGTTTCTACTGGTTCTATGGTGAAGGGTGTACTGCAGTACTCGGAGAACATTGTAACCAGTGTATCCAGAACTATTTTTCCCTTGGTTAGATCAGTACAAGTACACTCGATGAATACATTCCTGGGTAAAAAATAAACATAGTAATTTTTGCAAACTTTTTGTGGAAAACATTATTATTAAAAAGATTAATTTTTAAAAAAAATATTTTTAAATTATAATGTTATTATAAAATATAATAACATTACTTTGTGTTGAGTGTGATCTTCGAATGGTCTCCATTGATGATCGGTGGGAGGGAGAGAACGATCCCGTTGGAGTCATAGATCACTGGGTAGACAGGACTATCCCTAGAGATCAAACACATCTTGTACACAGTAAACATGTACAGTTGTAGCTGTACACAATGACGTGAACTGTACTAAAGATCAGATTTGAGAAATAGCAAACCCGTGGTTCAACCAACTCTCTTCAGCTTGAACCGAGAAAAGTTGTTTGATGACGTCTACGAGGTTCAGCTACTTCTCGTAATTCATAAAACCTGGTCCCTGGCTTATCAAACAAACAGATATATAATATAGATAAAATTTTAAAATCTTTGAAAACATAAATGTTGTCGAATGAAAAATATAAATGTCGCCTTCCTAATTATGTGCTCCTAAACAAATACTTCTTATTCTGAGTCCAAAACTTATGAAAGAAAAATCAAAACTTCTTGTGGCTCAAATTAAATCCTTAACTTCAAGCTATAGCTTAAATATTTAACCCCAGGAGAACCTTGCAGTCTCTCATCATTTTAAATCAATCAATCATGATTCTCTGCAAATATTGCAGCGTTTGCATAATTTATTCAAAACGCCCATTTATATGATTCGATATATGTGCCTGGGATTAAAGATTTGACCCTGAAATCATTATTTTACAGACATTTTAAACTTCGACTTAAGACTTGCGCATTCTATAGTTTTAGACTTGTAAAGCTGGTCGTTCGGCATTCATCCACTAAAAGCAGGTTTAAATAGAAGAACCAGTACGAATAAGAATCTCTTAAAGATAAACTTTTTCATTTGTAGTTCCTGTGCAATGACGTGAACTAGTTCCAATTAAAAGTAATTGCCAAAAATTACCGTTACATCATTAAAACCAATATAGGGAATGTCAAGAAAAAAATTTGCGTAAAATTGGAAGAAAACTCGTCGAAAAATGGAGGTCAAAAAATATAAATATAAGGCCAGAACTTTGGGAGGCCATAACATATTAACTAGAGGCCACAGGACCCGACATTTGACTTCCAAAGGGTGACTGACTTGATAAGAATGACTCGGTATGTGTGTTTAGATGGGTTTTCCTAATGATTGGAAGATAGGACTTGAGATGACTGTCTGTAGAATAGAGTTCCATCAACTCAACACTGAGCATCAATATTTAGAAAAAATACTACTGTTTATTAAAAATAAAAACAAGAAAAAAAAGAAACAAGCAAAATTTATTAGCGCTCAGAACTCATTTATCAGTAATCACTAAATTACAAAAATGCGAAAGGGGGTGGCGTACACATTTTTTAACCCCCCCCCCCTGCTTACGCAACATTTTGTTTCCGGTTAATTGGGGAAATTGTATTTCCATTATTCAATTCAGCCCCCCCTCCTCTACAATCATCCAGATTTTTATTAGATTCACGTTGTAAGAGTTAAAGAATCACGGGGGGGGGGGCGCGACGGGGAGAAATACCTTCCCCCCCCATTCTTCGTATCTAGACTTTTAGTGAAAGGTTTCATTGACATAAATTGATATACTTGAAACTTGTAGATTATCTAAATTATAAAGTTCATATAGTTATATCATAGCTAATTGATATACTTGAAACTTGTAGATTATCTAAATTATAAAGTTCATTTAGTTATATCATAGCTAAAGCTTACCAGATTGGCTGAATTTTTATAAGGAAACCCATGGGTATTGGGTACCCTGAGGGGTGATATGGGCATTTAACAATAGCATTCGATTTAAAAAATTTTAATTTTGAATATTTTTGTCTTTTTAAAATTCCACTGGCAACGCTGATCACTTCAGCAAGTAATAAATATAATGCTTTCCTAGTAAACTCCTTTGTCTGGTTTAAAGGGACAAATTTAATATCTGCTGGAGGTTTAGCCATATACTTAAAGGGACCCTAGACAAAAATACTCTATCATTTCTTGCTAAATTCAATTTCAATTTCCAGAGTAGTGTGTCTAATGTCAAATATTATATGTCAAATGTCAAATATTACATGTATAATGTCAAATATTACATGTCTAATGTCAAATATTACATGTCTAATGCCAATATTACATGACTAATGTCAAATATTACATGTTTAATGTCAAATATTACATGACTAATGTCAAGTACTACAAGTCTAATATCAAATATTACAAGTCTAATATCAAATATTACAAGTCTAATGTCAAATATTACATGACTAATGTCAAATATTAAATGTCGAATGTCAAATATTACAAACCTAATGTCAAATTTTCCATGTGAAATGTCAAAAAAAAGCAAGACAAATATCAAATATAACATGACAATGTCAAATATAGGACGAGGAATATCAAATATAGCATTAGAAAAGAAATCTGAAAAAGAGGTCCCGTTATGAACCCCCCAGACCGCCGGCAGGCATGGGAAGCATACATGTCAAATATAACATGACAATGTCAAATAAAGCATGAGGAATATCAAATATAGCATACATGTCAAATATAACATGACAATGTCAAAGAAAGCATGACGAATATCAAATATAGCATACATGTCAAATATAGCGTGCCGAATGTCATGTACAACATGAAAATATCAAATATAGCATGACGAATATCAAATATAGCACACTAAATGTCAAATATAGCATGTCGAATGTCAAATATAGCATGTCGAATGTCAAATATAGCATGTTAAACGTCAAATATAGCATGTTAAATGTCAAATATAGCATGTTAAATGTCAAATATAGCATGTTGAATGTCAAATATAGCATGCTAAATGTCAAATATAGCATGTTGAATGTCAAATATAGCATTTCGAATGTCAAATAAAGCATGTTGAATGTCAAATATAACAAGTTGAATGTCAAATATAGCATGTTGAATGTCAAACATAGCATGTTGAATGTAAATAAAGCATGTTGAATGTCAAATATAGCATGTTGAATGTCAAATATAGCATGTTGAATGTCAAATAAAGCATGTTGAATGTCAAATATAGCATGGTGAATGTCAAATATAGCATGGTGAATGTCAAATATAGCATGGTGATGTCAAATATAGCATGTTGAATGTCAAATATAGCATGTTAAATGTCAAATATAGCATGTTGAATGTCAAATATAGCATGACGAATATCAAATATAGCATACATGTCAAATATAGCGTGCCGAAATGTCAAATATAGCATGTTGAATGTCAAATATAGCATGACGAATATCAAATATAGCATACCAAATGTCAAATATAGCATGTCGAATGTCAAATATAGCATGTTGAATGCCAAATATAGCATGTTGAATGTCAAATACAGCTTGTTGAATGTCAAATAGAGCATGTCGAATGTATGGTAGAGTATTTTCCTTGATTGTGTCCAGATCATGAGTTCCTACAGAGGCTAGGGTTCTCTTCCTAGCAAGGTTCTGGTGCAGCTTATCCTAATTAAAGGAATGTTTAAAGGGAGTGTTCGCGAAAAATGAAAGGGGGTATAGGCTAAAAGGAATGTTAAAGGGACTGAAAGCGTAATTTCAAGTAACCTTCTATTTGAAGAAGTGCGTTCTAAACTCCCAACGGTACCTTTTAAACCTTTCACTTCAGAAGGACGACCGAATTTCCTTATTTACTATAAATCTGTAATCTGTATACAAAAAAGCTTGGAATTGTTGAAAACACTACAGCGACACTTAGCACATTGCGTTAACATATCTAACATCTTGGGGGGAAAAATAATCTTCGAGAAGGGAGAGGGAAAAAATCATTCCCCTTGTCGTTGCCATTTTTTGTATAAGTTTCAATATTGGAGATGAAAAGGCAAGTTGTCTTCCTTTCTTATATTTTTTACACAAAAATTCCCCCTAAATCTTTTATTTTATTTTTCCCAATTTAGCACAAAAAATCTGAACATACTGAAATTTTAGGGAAAAATGATTTTTTTGTAAATAGGGGGGGGGGGAATTATTTTTCAGTAAAATATTCACTTCCCTCTCAAGCAAGTGAATTTATTACTAAAGATGAATACCTGAAGTTCAATGAATGAGTTGTATCTATCCTTGGTAAAGGTAACACCTCGCAGTACAGCTCCTATAATATTACAATAATACAATATTTGGTTCAACACCTCGCAGTACAGCTCCTATAATATTACAATAATACAATATTTGGTTCAACACCTCGCAGTACAGCTCCTATAATATTACAATAATACAATATTTGGTTCAACACCTCGCAGTACAGCTCCTATAATAATATTACAATAATACAATATTTGGTTCAATTACGTGGTATTTAATTAATCTTATCTAATCTGAACCTGAGGCTGAATTTAAAGAATTTGAGCCACGTCTAAAATTTGAGACGCGGCTGAAACATGGTTGGTTCCACAATTGAAATTGTATTAAGTGTTTCGAGATTTGAGCCGGCGCTCAATTGGAACCGGTTTTTGACGTTTTGGTTTTGGTTTAAATTCTTTAAATTCGTCCTCTTTCCTTTTTTATTTTTAAGAATAACTATTAATATGTGCTTTTTTCTCGTCAATAATTGTTTTCATAAATAATAATCATTTTGTTAGGTTACTTCATACAATCATATAGCCATAAAGACCCGGAATTAATTGACAGTTATTCAGACTTCACAAATATGTCTCTGGTAATATTAAACGCATAATAAAAGCAGACTACATTTTGGAATCGGCAGGACCAGGGGGCTATTTAGGTATTACCGTTTTATCCATCATATTTGTAAAATTAGATTAATTATGAAGATATTCCGGGTCTTTCTGGTAATGACTGTACTAATATGTGAGTGTTAATTTGCATTATATCAGTATTTTATTGAAGAATATTAATGTGAATCAAGAGTTAATGGAAAGTTAATGACAGACATTTTTAAGTTCCTAAATTCTTTTAACTATAAATTTTCTCTCGTTGAAACTTTTTATAAATTTTTGTAATTATTTTGAAGTTGTGTAAATTTACGTATCTAATGATTATCACCCCCCCCCCCCTCCTCCTCGTGTCTACTAATTTTTTCTTCAAATAATATCGGGACAAAAAAGCAAAAAAGAAAAGGGCCTGAAAATATGTCGAAAAAAAACGATCAAAGAAAAAGGTCCTTTATTTTCAATTTTGATTTTAAAGATATTCGTAAATATTGACTTTAACAGTGTCTGCATATTAATGTGATTTATGTAATATGTATCTCTATGAATATCATGACAATATTCAGAAAACAAAAAAAATAGAGTAAAACGACATTAAGGCAATACTTGATGTTGTTAAATAAATAATGGTTTTACTACTTATAAATCACAAATTTATTGAAATGGGTCTGGTTACACTGCAAATTGGTGTGTGTCATCAATCAAATCAAATCAAATCAAATCAAATCAAATCAAATCAAATCAAATCAAATCAAATCAAATCAAATCAAATCAAATCAAATCAAATCAAGTTTATTAAATCTGAAAGGAACCCAACGTGGAACCTCCAGACTGCCTTCAGGGCGCTAGAGTCTTATGCTCATTGGACTTTAGAAGGTTAAACCTTGAAAGTCGTCCTGCTACTGATAATAATGGAAATATAAACGTAACCCTTGATTACCTATAACATGAGGCCGAACACCCTCCACACTAGGATCAACCTCCAACCTTTCAATCTTTTCAGGCTTGCTCAACTCATATCTAAACATTGAACATCTTACCAGGTTTACTCACCTCATATCTAAACATTGAACATCTTACAAGGCTTACTCAACTCATATATAAACATTGAACATCTTAGCAGGTTTACTCAACTGATATCTAAACATTGAACATATTACAAGGCTTACTCAACTCATATCCAAACATTGAACATCTTACCAGGCTTACTCAACTCATATATAAACATTGAACATCTTACCAGGTTTACTCAACTGATATCTAAACATTGAACATATTACAAGGCTTACTCAACTCATATCCAAACATTGAACATCTTACCAGGCTTAC